GGCACACACAAAACATATTTACAAAGCCAAACTAAAAGAAAGGCCACCCGCTCAGCATGGGTAGGCTCAGCGCTCGAATGATTGTGGAGGGTCTGCAGGCTTGAATAAGAATCGGTGTAGTTTTTGCCGAACTGTGGGGCGCCACCAGAAACTGAGATACCTGGGAAAATGGTATCGCCCAAAGGTGGTAAATTCATCAGGGCCCCCCAACATCCCTTAACGTAATAGACATGGGGCCAAGAGGAAAAATAAAGGTGTTGTACTCAGAGGACCAAAAACTCAAAGCAATCGGAAAGAGCGCTGAGTCAAAAGTAGGGGGGCGAATAGAGACTTCTAACAAATTAGAAATCCTAGCGCCATCAAAAAGTGCCTTAGTAGGACCATGACCCACAAGGCGAGCATGCCACCTACGAAAAACTACATCAGATTTAGGCCAAGTGCGAATACCTCTTTCGCGAAGTGGCCCCAGCAGCAGAGAGTTTAGAAAAGGAGGGCCACGAGTGCAAGGAAACAGCTGACCCACCGCCGCCTGTTCAACTGCCTTCGCATTGTTGAAGAAATGACCCAAGTAAAACTCATTACGTCCAACGTCGGCGGGCGCGAGAAAACTTGGGGTTATGTATGGGCAACTCAGAAGTTTATGAAAGTCATCAAAACTAAAGGAATCGCTAGCTTGAGATTGTGAAGCAGCCATTGGGGAATGAACTAAACTTTTCAGGGTTACGTAACAAGGAAGCAAAAGATGAACAGTGAATTGTGAAAGAGATGCAGAAAATATGAGGCGTGGTTTGGTAGCAGTAAAATGGCGTGTTTGAGGTTTATAAGGGTTTGCAAAACGACGCACTTCTTCAAGTTATAGAAGGAAACAATGATTGAAATTCTTGGGAACTTCGAACGTCGCTGGAAACATGAAGTGAATATGGCAAAATTCAATAATTATTATTAATTCTGCCATATTGGGGGGTAATTGTTGACACATAAAAATTCAGCCCAAATCGAACAGCCCAAGGAATAAAGCCCAATTGAAGGATCCCCCAAATCGGATAGCCCAAAGAACGAAGTCCAATCAAACGAATTAGGGTGAAGGCCCAAATAAGGGGCCCAAGAATGCGGTGACGCCATCGCCCAAGTTTGCGAGTCGCCCAGAATCTGAACGAATGGGGTGTTATACGGTCGTCCAGAGCTGTTATTCCACTCTCACCCAAACCTTCAAGTCGCCCAAGGTATCAACAAATATAACGTATCGTGGTTATCAAGGAATGCAGTTATCAAGGCAGTTGTTAAAGTAGTATTATCATGTTCCACGACTCAAGGAATTCAATCGAAAGCGGTTGAACGATGAAAGATAATGGTAGCAGTTAAGAGGCAGTTTCATGACAAAATGGCCACTACAAAGAAAGTGGGAAGTTATAGGACGATCAAGCAGTTTTCAGGGTAGTTAATCACAAAGAGATCGTCTAGGAGGTATAAAAGGGAGAAAGGACGCAGAAGCAAATGACCGAATCCAAAACTCTCGAACAGAGAATATGTAATTTTCATTTCCTTAGCTTTTAGACTTAAACATTTTTCTGTAACTCGTGTGCTTGCGCCCCTTGGAGGCACGTTGTTTTTCATTCCCAATTGTAAAGTCCATCGCCAATAAAAGAACACCCCTTTTTGGAACTTTATCTCAAGAGGTTTCGTCCCTTACACAATCGTCTGACCCTTTTTAATTGTTAGCGACTTAACCCGCGCGAAACAAGAACCCTTCACCCGACGGAGAAGGTTCTTTCCATCTGTGGCAGGGCGTTGAGGACGGGATGGTGCCCGTTTCACTGCAGCGCTACATTGCTGAGAAGCTTCCTTGGATACTATACCATGAAATACCTGACGCTGGACATCTGCTTGCATACGGTGATGATGGCTTAAAAAATTCAATCTTGAAGACTCTTTTGACAGGGAATAAGTAACTGCAGTATAGATTGTTATGTACTTCTTGACCCATATTATTTCATGGATCGAAACAACTAAACCCATGTAGACAACTAATCCCCAAAATTTGAAGAGGAAAATAACGAAATGTCAAAAGTTAACATGCAATATAAATTATAAATGAAGTTTGGCATACTGAATTATAATGCAATGGCAAAGGGGTCTATTCATTTCTTTGATAATTTTTTCACCGAAATTATTTAAAACAAAATTGAATGTTCGTTTGAGTGATTTATGTACGAAATCGAAAAATATTGATTGCGAGATATCGATAACAAAAATAATGAAAATGATGATCAAATATAAATAAGCTCCTAATTTTATATTAATTTGTACTAAATTAACTTAAAACTAATAAGTATGAACAGGAACAAAGAATTATTAAATTCAAAGTACCTTTAACAAGCATCTAAAAAGGGTATTATCATGAGATTAAAGCAAAACAATAATAATAATAGCCAATAAACTTTGTAGTATATGTTTTGAAGATAAAAGATAAATTTAAAAACTTGTAAGGCTATAATAAACACAGTGATATCAGACCAATTTGTTAAATTGGATTTTCTAAATTTTAATTCAACGTGATGTAATTCATTCCTTGTTTGGTTGAAAAAAAAAGTTTATGATGGGTTAGTGTTGGACGTTGAATTTGAAGAGGCAAAAAGATTTTTTGTTTTGTTAAGAAAAGAAAATGAATGTTTGGAAGATAAATGGTCAAATTACTTTGAGAAAGAAAGTAATGTTTGTGATATATTTATATAATAGATAAATATAAGTGATAAACATTATACCTTTTATATGTTTTACTAAAGATTTTTGTATTTTCGATTTTTATTAGTTTCTTGTATTTGCATATTGATAATTCTATTTTAAAGAATTTCATAAATATAATTTTTGTTTTTCTTCAAACAATAAACCTTTCATAATTTGGGGTCCTCGCCAAAGCGGGGAGTTAGGCGATCGTCTATCATGTCTATAATCAAGGCCGCCACTATTTTACACCTTGATCCATTACATGAATCTCAGTCGATGACATTTGTACTTGTTGTTGGGTTTTTTACTCAAATTGGATTGGATTTTTGAGAAAATACATTTTCCTTTATTTCATGCGATTTTTGATCTTGTTTCCAACTGTGTGGTATTTTTAGGGTTTGACATGCACCCCTATAAATACTAGATGCTTTTCACAAGTTTTGGATTACTTAAATATCGAATAATTGTGTAGACACAATTACTGTATTTATTTTCTCCATATTAGTCAATTGAATAAAATATTTCGTTCCTCTACCAATTAATTCTTTGCCTTTTATCATGTTGTTAGTTTGCGATCATAAACTGCATATCGTATCATATATATTGCATTGATCTATTTTATTTCCCAACAAGTGGGATTAGAGTTATTGGTTGTGATTTGTTTAATTTTTTTTTTATTGATGGCAATCATGAAATACGAAATTTCGCTCTTCGATCGTAATACAAGATTCTGGTTGTGACAAGAAAAGATACAAGTTGCACTCGCGTAGATGAATTTTGAGGATGCGTTGTTGGGATTTGACAAAATGTCTACAACTTGAACGATGAAGAAAAAACAACAAAAAGATCGGAAGGCACTCACAAATCCATCAGTGAATTTTGCATCTAAAAGTTATGTTGGTTGGCGACGCAGAGTCATAAGAAAATGCAAAATCATCTATTTCATACAGTCATAATTACAATGTTCTTTTTAAGTTGTGTTTGGTCGAATTCCACAAACGTATGTATTCGTTGATAATAGTTAAAGTTACTAAAAGTATACTCCCCACGAGGATTAGATGCTAGCTTAAATTCTATAAATTCGCACCTAAAACAAGTAAACACAATAGATTGTTGCATGAGACTAACTATAAATCTACTAATTATTTTACTACTAACTACCAATATGCAAATGAAGCTTGAACAAAAAGAGAAGTACGTGGAAAAACATGCTAGGAATCCTACTCCATCCTTAGTATCCATTTTAATTCTCATCTTCAGTCTTCTAAACTCGATTTATGCATGAATTGACTATCTATAGTCCCATGTTATCTAACATTCCTTTTCAAGTGAAGTTAAACTTATTTTCAAATATGACTCGAAATATTCCTATCCAAGTTTGAATATCTAAAAATGTATTCAATGACAAGATTATCTAAATAGATTGCATAGAGTATAAATAATTATCTCT